CTTCCCTCTTTCTCTACAAAATTGGTGAGTACCGCTGCCCTCCGGGATGCGATGGTCACTACCACCACTCCTGGGGGTCAGCGTGTGTCGATCTGCATGTGTACACGGACGGGCCGTCACCTGGCCACGTTCACCCGACGGCCTGGGTCGAGTCTGTACACACTGACTACTGAGCCTCCTCAGGTAGGGCATTTGGTCAGGTGTCTGCGTCAGGTCCAGTAGCAGCCCCCTGCTCGTGTCGCCTCCTGTCGCACCAGACTCTCCTTTGGCACCACAGCCTTGGTCACCCCTCCCTGCCACGCCTTCGTGGCATGCACTCCTGCCTCCTTGTTTCTAGTCTTCCCAGGTCTCTGCCTCCCCTCCCGCCCTGACTTCCTTGCGTCGAGGGGCGGCAGTCCGCCGCTCCTCACTCCTCCTCGTTTCCCTCGACGACTGCTCCCCTGCAGACTCTCCACATGGACGTCTCGGGCCCAGCCCGCGTCAGTGGACAGGACCACAAGCGCTACTTTCTACTAGTTGTTGACGACTACACGCGTTACACCACGGTCTTCCCCTTGCGCAGCAAGGGTGAGGTCCCTGATGTCTTGATCCCTTGGATCCGCGCAGTCCGTCTCCAGCTCCGCGAAGACCTTCCTGTCCTGCGTCCGCACTCTGACAGAGGTGGTGAGTTCTCCTCTGACCTCTTGCGGGACTTTTGTGGTGGGGAGGGCATCCTCCAGTCGTTCACGCTTCCGGCCTCCCCACAGCAAAATGGGATTGCTGAGCGCCGCATTGGCTTAGTCATGGAGGTGGCTCGTACCTCCATGGTCCATGCGGCTGCTCCCCATTTTCTGTGGCCGTTTGAGGTCCGGTACGCTGCGCATCAGCTCAACATCTGGCCCCGTATCTCCTTGCCGGAGACCTCACCTACACTGCGTTGGACGGGGAAGCTTGGCGATGCGTCGGTGTTCCGGGTCTGGGGCTCTCGTGCCTTTCTTCGCGATACTTCCGCGGACAAGCTCTACTCCCGCGCTATTCCCTGCGTCTTCCTTGGCTTTTCCCCATGACGCGCCTGGCTGACAGTTTTACCACCCCACCTTGCGCCGTGTCCTCCCATCTCAGGACGTCATGTTTGATGAGCTGGTTCCCTTTTACCATCTCTTCCCCTACCGCACTGCCCCTCTCCCCCCCCCCCCCCGCCGCTCTTCCTCGCTCCAGGTCCCCCTCCAGTAGACCCCCTTCCCCCTCAGGGTCTTGCTCCCTCAGGTGTGTCTCAAGTAGACCCTCTCCCTCTAGCTGTGCCTTTCGAGGTCGCTGTAGACTCAAGTGCTGCTATATCAGAACATTATAGCTTTTACATTTGTGTAGGCTATAGTGGGGTAGCCCATATGGGGTACAACCCAATTAGGGTTAGTACTTGTACCCAAATCTTTGCTAGTTCATTCATTCTCGTTCTTTCTCTTGACATGGTTTCAGAGCAGGTCCTTCGCTAGGACCGCTTTTTTGGGCCCACCACTGAACTGCTCATAGCCCCGCGCCCGGCCCGTCGACTCCTAGCCCGCGCTCGGCCTCCGTCGACCCCTAGCCCCGTGCCCGGCCCCGTCGCCCCTAGCCCGCGCGCACGGCCCGTCGACCCCTAGCCTCGTGCCCGGCCCCCGTCGACCCCTAGCCCCGCGCCCGGCCCCGTCGACCCCTAGCTCGCGCCCGGCCCGTCGACCCCTAGCCCGCGCTCGGCCCCCGTCGACCCCTAGCCCCGCGCCTGGCCCCATCGCCCCTAGCCCGCGCTTGGCCCCCTGTCGACCCCTAGCCCTGCGCCCGGCCCCCGTCGACCCCTAGCCCCGCGCACGGCCCGTCGACCACTAGCCCGCGCTCGGCCCCCCGTCGACCCCTAGCCCCGCGCCCGGCCCCCGTCGACCCCTAGCCCCGCGCCCGGCCCCGTCGCCCCTAGCCCGCGCGCACAGCCCGTCGACCCCTAGCCCCGCGCCCAGCCCCCGTCGACCCCTAGCCCCGAGCACGGCCGTCGACCACTAGCCCGCGCTCGGCCCCCGTCGACCCCTAGCCCTGCGCCCGGCCCGTCGACCCCTAGCCCCGCGCCCGGCCCCCGTCGACCCCTAGCCCGCGCTCGCCCCCCCGTCGACCCCTAGCCCCGCGCCCGGCCCCGTCGACCCCTAGCCCGCGCCCGGCCCGTCGACCCCTAGCCCGCGCTCGGCCCCCCGTCGACCCCTAGCCCCGCGCCCGACCCCGTCGCCCCTAGCCCGCGCTCGGCCCCCCGTCGACCCCTAGCCCCGCGCCCGGCCCCCGTCGACCCCTAGCCCCGCGCCCGGCCCCGTCGACCCCTAGCCCCGCGCACGGCCCCGTGGCCCCTAGGCCCCAGGCCCCTCGGCCCCTTATCCTTACTGCTGCTACTGCTACAGCTACTACTCCTGCTGCTACTGCTGCTTCTGCTGCTCCTGCCTGCTGCACAGCTATGTCCTCACTTCGAATTCTTGCATTCGATCATGAGGGTGGACCGGTTCAGTTTGACACGTGGCTCGACGACCTGCAGCTGTACCTCCTAAGCGATATTAAGGACGGTGTTTCACTGTTTGACCACGTGTCCGGTGCCGCTACTGCCCCTCCCACCACAGCTGACGGTGCGACTCGCTCACAATGCCTTTCTCGCGACGCTGCTGCCCGCTTAGCCATTCGCAACCACCTGCCGTTAGCCGAATGCGCTCACTTTGAGCAGCACAGGACCGCACAGGCACTGTACGACGCTGTAGTCGCTCGCTACTCCTCCCCTGCCACTGCTGCTCTAGGCCGCCTGTTTCTGCCCTACCTGTTCCCCGAGCTGTCCGCCTTTGCCACAATCGAGGACCTAGTTTCCCACCTTCGCGCGAGCGACGCTCGCTACCGCACTGCCGTCCCTGCTGAGTTCCTTGACAAGAACCAGCCCCCGATGTTCATCATGTCAGAGGTCCACTGGTGATCCCCGATTGATCCTAGGGAAGGGTTACAGGCTCGTTGTCCTGGGGGGTTATGGGCGCACTGACCCGCTACTTAACAAGCCCTTTTATCCCAATGGTCTAGTGGTTGGGATTCTGACATGGTATCAGAGTGGTCTCGGGTTCGAATCCCAGTGTGTGCACTTCGGGCATCCCAGTGCGGGGGGGTGTCAGAGGTCCACTGGTGATCCCCGATTGATCCTAGGGAAGGGTTACAGGCTCGTTGTCCTGGGGGGTTATGGGCGCACTGACCCGCTACTTAACAAGCCCTTTTATCCCAATGGTCTAGTGGTTGGGATTCTGACACATCACCCTCTACTTCACTCGCCTCCCTGACTCTCTTCGCTCTGTCAGGGACCACTTCCTCTCTCTTGACCCCACCTCCCTCATTGTTGACCTTCTCGAGCAGCATCTCCTCGCAGCTGAGACTAGTGCAGTTGCTGTAGGTGCTGCTCGGGGCCCTCCGCGCCCGCCCTTCTTTGAGGGGTGCTCCCCCTCCCCCCTTGCCCCCTCCTACGCCTCTGCTGCGGCTGCAGATGTCTCTGTTGCTGAGGACGTCGGGGGGTAGTTGCCCGTGTGTCATTCGCATGGGTGACCATGCTGGTCAGACTTGCAGGCGGCTGCACACTCAGCACCGCTGCTTCTCCCGCCTTGACGACGCTTGGCGTGCTGAGTTTGGTGACGATGTCAAGCTCCCTTGCTGGGCAGATCTTCTTAGGCGTTGCTCACCGCCGCAGCAAGGGGATGCACAATCGCCACCAGGTATGCACGGCGTGTCAGGGTGGCGAGTGCCGTTTGTGTCGACTCGAAAGTCACTACGTTGCTCACCGCCGCAGCAAGGGCCTGCACAATCGCCACCAGGTAGGGAGTGCGTTTTGGGACATCCAGCACCTTGCAGCACGCAGCACCATGCAGCACCATGCAGCACCATGCAGCACCATGCAGCACCATCCTCGTTCATTGCACACCACTGCAGCAAGGGTCTGCTCTCAGTGTACCAACCTTCTCTTCTCTCTATCTCTCTCTCATTCTCTCACCCGTCCCTTAATCACCAGCCGCAGATTCCAGCCCTCGTGTAAAATACACATCCCCGGTAGACCATGCTTTTGTGCCGGCACCCGTGTGGTTACCATTTGTTGTCTTGTAACTCTCTCCATCACTCTCCCTCTCTCCCTCATAGCTTCCCTCTCTCCCACCAGGCGCAGATACTAACCTGCATGGAGTATCATTGTATCCCCCTATCCCCCGCTCTCTCTCCCTCCCTCCCACCCATCCCCCCTCTCCCCCACCAGGCGCAGGTCCTAACCCTAGTGGAGTACACAACTCTGCTCTACCGTACCTGTGTGCCAGCACCCATGTGGTTCCAAATTTTTATAAATTCTCCAAATTTCCCAGCATTCTCAATGACCAGGCCTATGGCCGACTCACCGCCTCCCTCACCGCCTCCCTCACCGCCTCACTCCTTCCTCTCCCCTCTCCTCTCTCCCCCACCAGGCGCAGGTCCTAACCCTAGTGGAGTACACGTCGCTCCTCTACCGTGCCTGGGTGCCGGCACCCATGTGGTTTCTTGCCAGTCTGTTCTTAGCTGTATGATTGTTTTTTCCTCCTCCCCCCCTCCTCTCTCCCCCACCAGGCGCAGGTCCTAACCCTAGTGGAGTACACGTCGCTCCTCTACCGTGCGTGGGTGCCGGCACCCATGTGGTTTCTTGCCAGTCTGTTCTTAGCTGTATGATTGTTTTTTCCTCCTCCCCCCCTCCTCTCTCCCCCACCAGGCGCAGGTCCTAACCCTAGTGGAGTACACGTCGCTCCTCTACCGGGCCTGGGTGCCGGCACCCATGTGGTTCCAAATTTTTATAAATTCTCCAAATTTCCCAACATTCTCAATGACCAGGCCTACGGCCGACTCACCGCCTCCCTCACCGCCTCCCTCACCGCCTCACTCCTTCCTCTCCCCTCTCCTCTCTCCCCCACCAGGCGCAGGTCCTAACCCTAGTGGAGTACACGTCGCTCCTCTACCGTGCCTGGGTGCCGGCACCCATGTGGTTTCTTGCCAGCCTGTTCTTAGCTGTATGATTGTTTTTTCCTCCTCCCCCCCTCCTCTCTCCCCCACCAGGCGCAGGTCCTAACCCTAGTGGAGTACACGTCGCTCCTCTACCGGGCCTGGGTGCCGGCACCTGTGTGGTTCTAGTTCTTTCTCAACGACCAGGCATACGGCCGCCTCACCGCCTCCCTCACTGCAGGGCTCTACCTCGCGTTCAAGCTCTCCACCTCGCTCGACAGGGTATGGCATGCTGCTCTCGTCATCTTTCCTTAGGCGCCTCAAAAGTAGATAACTAGTTGTATGGCCGACTCACCGCCTCCTCATTGCTGGACTCTACCGCGCCTTGAGCTCTCCACCTCACTCGACAGGGTATGCTTCTCATATCACCTGGTACGATATGGCGACGTCACTTGTGCGCATTCATTGTTTAAGCTCGTCGCCTGGCGCCTCAGAAGTGTCACTCGTTCTCAATGGATTCTTCTCATTGCTGTACTGCTGTTTTTGTGTCAAGTCTCTTTGATTCCCTCTACTTGTTGTGTATCGTTGAGCCATGCTCAACAATTCGTCAACAGCTACTCAGTAGTTGAAGGTCATGGTCGGTCACTCCTCTTGTTTATCTTAGAACCATGCTCATTAGTTTCACAATATTTTCTGTTTTGCTGGCTGTCCCTCTACAGTCCCTCACTCTCTTCGCTTGTGCGACAGGTGCCGCTCTTTGTCTCCACGGATTTACAGTCTCTGGGATTTTTTCAGTTAATCCAAATACTGAATCAAACCTCTCTCCCCTTGTGCGCCAGGTGCTCCTCTTTGTGTCCGCTGTTCGCCAAGCGGTTGGGAAAGGCGAGCAGTATGGGACCGAGGCCACGCCTGACGAGGTATGCTTTTTGGTGAAGGGGAAAGATTCCAAAAGCAGTATGGCACTGCGGCCACAGCTAGCTAGGTGTGTATCGTCACAGCAGAGTACACATGGCCATTCTAGGGGAGGGGACGAATGGCCATGTGGTGGACTCTGCTTGCAGGCAGAGGAGACAACAGAGCGATGTGGCTCCAGGTGAGTGAACAGAGAAAACTGAGAAACTATTGCACTCAAGCACCCGAGATGGTATGGGGTTTGTGAAACGAATTTTGAGCCAAAGTAGGACAGTTTCAATAGGTTGATTGGACAGTTTCTGTGAAGATTCTTTGGCTGTCGAGGGCGTGTTTGCTCGGTATGACTGGTTCTGACTGCATGCGGCTGTATCCCTGACCTGCATCACTATGAGCTCATCACCTCACATTGGCTCAAATGTGTTTCACGACCTCCTTTCACCCCTCTCTCTCCTGCTGTTTCTGCCAATTCATGCTGATCCTGGGCTGACCAGCGTTCATATTCGGGAATGTGCATACTTGCACCTTTTTCTCTCTTTCCTCCTTTTTGCCCCACCAGGTGGCAGCAGCCGGCAACATGTGTGCCATCTGCCAGGAGCACATGACAGGCCCTGTCACGCTGCGATGCCGCCACGTGTTCTGCGACGAATGTGTCTCTGAATGGTAAGTTACGATTCATTGGTTATCTAGTAGTCATGAAATGGTCAGCAGCAGGTGTGCTGTATCATCAATCGCGTTGGTGGTAATGCACTGTGAACCTCATTCTGTTTCACCCGTTTTCATGACTGTTGGTACAGTGCGTTGTAGTTTCTGTACTAACTAGTTATTTCCATACTCATCCATCCATGGCAGGTTTGAAAGGGAGCGGACCTGCCCTCTGTGTCGCATGGTGGTTAAACCAGCAGGGCTACGCTCATTCAGTGATGCCAACACAAGCCTGCTAGTTTAGCTGTTTTGAATTGCCTCCACCATAGCAATTAGGTACATTAGTTTATTACTTGCAGTGCAAGATCCTTCAACTTGCTACATACCAGCACACATAACCTACTGGTACTACATACAGGCACATTCAATCTGCCATGTATACATATGTCTTGTCTACCAGCCATAGAACCTCGAACGAAAAGAATCATGCCAGCCAAGGCCGTCAGTAAGATAAGATCAAATCTGGTCCACTTGGATTTTTATTGTAGTGCGAGGTGAACCAGCATTCAGTGCCACTCAATTTTCTCCAGCATTAAGGCCTGCTAGGCCCACCTTCACCACCTGCTGCAGCTCCACCAGCACTACCACTCCGGCCCCTGTCAAGGAGAAAGTTTTTTAAAGAAACGGACAAAGACAGCAAGAAATGAAACACAGCAGGAACAAAATTAGAATGTCTACCACAATTCCTCAAGTCTGTTACAGGACGAGACATCCCAACATCATGACCCTACCTTGTGGAAAAGGGAAACCACACATGTGGAGAGCACACTAGCATTTATGCGGAGGGCACATGAACACACGTGGAGTAAACACCAATACTGTGAGCCAGCACTTGTCATGGGGTGGGGGGTGTTAGAATAACCTCTAACCACCTACCTAGGTGGAACACCAGAAATTTGAGGCGCCTCAAAACTCAAGGGAGGAGGGGGGGTTGGGATAGTCTCAAACCACCTGCCTAGGTGGAGCGCCGGCGCTGCCATTGCGAGGCGGAGGAGGGGAGCGCCCACGGCCACGGCCACGGGGTGAGGGCGAGCGGCTGTAGCTGCGATCCCGATCTTCATTGGAATAGCTGGGCGATCTGGTAGTGGATGGGGTGGGTGAGAGAGGGAGGGAGGGAGGGAGGGAGGGAGGGAGGGAGGGAGGGAGGGAGGGAGGGAGGGAGGGAGGGAGGGAGGGAGGGAGGAGGGAAGGAGGGAGGGAGGGAGGGAGGGAGGGAGGGATAGAGTGGAAAACGTGGGTGTAGGAGGGGGGAGGTGCTATCTTTGACCTAGAATTTGATGCTATTCTTTCTGCTATGTATGCTTTGTCTGTTAGTGCTGAGGGTGATTGTTACCGATGTGTGCCGCCTGACCCAGGTATAGCTGCTGCTGCTCTAGGTGCTAGTGAGTCTGGTACTCTCCCTGGTACTGCGTCTGCTCAGGCCTTGCACACCTTCATGCTGGACTCAGGCGCTTTTGCTTGTTTCTTTCGTGACAGCACCACACTCACTCCTCTCTCTACACCTATCCCGGTTCGACTGGCTGACCCCTCTGGGGGCCCGGTCGTGGCCCGTTCCTCCACTGTCCTCCTGTGTCTGGCGGTTCCGTCCGGCTCACTGTTAGGTCTTCACCTCCCCTCGTTCTCTGCAAACTTGGTGAGTACCACTGCCCTCCAGGATGCGATGGTCACTACCACCACTCCTGGGGGTCAACGTGTGACGATCTGCACGTGCACATGGACGGGGCGTCACCTGGCCACGTTCATTCGTCGGCCAGGGTCTAGTCTGTACACACTGGCTACCGAGCCTCCTCAGGTAGATGCGTCCGCTCAGGTGTCCGCGTCAGGTCAGGTCGCCGCCTCTTGCTCGTGTCGCCTCCTGTCGCACCAGACTCTTCTATGGCACCACCGCCTGGGTCACCCCTCCCTGCCTCGCCTTCGTGGCATGCACTCTCGTCTTCTTGTCTCTGGTCTTCCCAGGTCCCTGCCTCCCCTGCCGCCCTCGCCTGCCCCGCCCTGCCTTCCTTGCATCGAGGGGCGGCAGCACGCCACTCCTCACTCCTCCTCGTTTCCCCCGACGACTGCTCCTATGCAGACTCTCCACATGGACGTGTGGGGCCCAGCCCGTGTTAGTGGACAGAGCTGCGAGCGCTACTTTCTGCTGGTGGTTGACGACTACACGCGGTACACCACGGTCTTCCCCTTGCGCAGCAAGGGTCAGGTCGTTGATGTCTTGATCCCCTGGATCCGCACAGTTCGTCTCCAGCTCCGCGAGCGTTTCTGCCAGGATCTTCCTGTCCTGCGTCTGCGCTCTGACAGAGGTGGTGAGTTCTCCTCCAACCTCTTAAGGGACTTTTGTCGTGGGGAGGGCATTCTCCAATCGTTCACGCTTCCGGACTCCCCTCAGCAAAATGGGATTGCTGAGCGCCGCATTGGCTTAGTCATGGAGGTCGCTCGTACCTCCATGATCCATGCGGCTGCTCCCCATTTTCTGTGGCCGTTTGCAGTCCGGTACGCTGCGCATCAGCTCAACCTCTGGCCCCGTGTCTCCTTGCCGGAGACCTCGCCCACATTGCATTGGACGGGGAAGGTTGGCGATGCGTCAATGTTCCGGGTCTAGGGATCTCGTGCCTTTGTTCGCGATACGTTCGCGGACAAACTCTCCCCCCGTGCTATCCCCTGCGTCTTCCTTGGCTTTGTCCCTGACGCGCCTGGCTGGCAGTTTTACCACCCCACCTCGCGCCGTGTCTTCCCTTCTCAGGACGTCACGTTTGACGAGTCGGTTCCCTTCTACCGTCTATTCCCCTACCGCTCTGCCCCTCCCCCGCCCCCGCCGCTCTTCCTTGCTCCCGGTCCCCCTCCGGTAGACCCCCTCCCGCCCCAGGGTCCTGCTCCCTTAGGTGTGTCTCAGGTAGACCCTCTTCCTGGTCCTGCGCCTGTTCAGGTAGCTGTCGGCTCAGGTGCTGCTCGAGGTGCTGCGTCTGGGGGTGCGGGGCCTTGGGGTGCTACGTCTGGGGGTGCGGGGCCTGGGGGTGCGGAGTCTGAGGGTGCTGAGACTGGGGGTGCTGAGCCTAGGGGTGTCGAGCTTGGGGGTGGTGAGCCTGGGGGTACTGAGCCTGAGGGTGTAGAGCCTGGGGGTGCTGTGTCGGAGGGTGCGGAGTCTGGAGGTGCTGAGCCTCAGGGTGCTGCTTCGTCTGGAGGTTCTGCTGGTGCTTCGCCGAGACTGTCTCCGCAGCAGCTGCGGGAGTGGTTTGTTCGACGCGCACGCCTTCGTGCTGGAGCTACTGCAGCTGGAGGTGCTGGAGTTGCTGCTGGAGCTGGTGTTCCTGGAGGTACTGCGGTCACTGGTCCTGGAGGTGCTCGTACCCGGGGTACTGGAGTTGCCGGGACTGGTGGTGTTGAGGGTGCTGGAGCTGGAGACCCTACGGAGTCTGGTGCTACTGGTGCTGGCGGCTCTGGCGCTGGTGGCGCTAGAGCTAGAGGAGCTGGAGTTGGAGGCACTGGTGCAGGAGGTGTAGGAGTTGGAGGCCCTGGTGTTGGAGGTGCTGGAGCTGGAGGAGCTGGCGCTGTTGACCCTGGTGGCGCTGTGCGGCCGCGACCGTACTTTGTTCCCCTGCTTCAGCAGGTTCTTGTTACCCCGTCCTCTACTGGCCTTACTCCTCCCCTCCTGTGTCCACCGCCTGACCAGTCTCAGCCGCAGTTACAGCCGGCCTCTCCATTGCCTGCTCCTTCTCCTTACACCGAGCTGTCCGGCGGTCTTACAGAGCGTCGTGAGCCTGCGTCTCGTCCTGTCTCGCCTGTTTGCACTGCTCGTCGTGTTCCTCGTACGCCTCCTCCTCCTCTTCCCGGCACGCACACTATGACCCTTCGTCCTTCCTCTGTTCCCCTACGTGTTCCTTTGCCTGCTCCTCCTGAGTCCTCTCTTCCTTAGGTCCCTGACCCTGAGTCTGACCGCACTCGTGCTGCCAATCCCACTGTCTCTCGTCTCCTCGCCATTGCTGTCACAGACCCTTCGTTTGAGTCTGCTGCTGCGTCTGCTCTCGTTGCTGAGCTGCTTGACTTTGCTGCTGCCTGCCGTCTAGACTACGCCACTGCTCTAGTTGCTGAGTCTGCGTCTGCCAGTCCTCCGTCCGTCGGGGGTGAGTGTGCTCTTGGCACGGATGTCCTTGAGGACTTTGAGTGTCTTGCTGCTGCTGTACCTCGTTTCGCTTCCATGCTGCTTGCCCCTGAGGGAGACCCGGATGCACCAAACATCCCGACCCCGCGCTCTTACGCAGAGGCGATTACGGGTCCCTACTCCTCTCAGTGGCAGGCAGCCATGGATGCCGAGATGGCATCCTGGAAGTTTACAGGCACCTACGTCGACGAGGTTCCCCCACTTGGGGCGAACATAGTCGATGGCATGTGGATTTTCAGGGTGAAGCGGCCGCCGGGTTCTCCGCCTGTCTTCAAGGCGCGTTACGTTGCTCGAGGCTTCAGTCAGCGACAGGGAGTTGACTACTTCCAGACCTTCTCCCCCACCCCGAAGATGACTACTCTTCGGGTATTGCTGCACGTCGCTGCTCAGCGTGACTACGAGTTGCACTCTCTGGACTTCGGCACAGCTTTCCTACAGGGCAGCTTGCACGAGGAGATCTGGCTGCGCCGCCCACCTGGCTTCACTGAGTCGTTTCCTGCAGGTACTCAGTGGAGCCTCCGATGGCCAGTCTACGGTCTCCGCCTGGCGCCTCGCGAGTGGCACGACACACTAAGGACTACACTTGCGGCTCTTGGATTTGCTCCTGCTACTGCTGACCTGTCGCTGTTTCTACGCACCGACACCTCGCTGCCGCCGTTCTACGTCCTCGTGTACGTCGACGACCTCGTCTTTGCCACTACTAGCACTGAGGCACTGACCCTTGTGAAGTTGGAGCTACAGAAGAGACACACTTGCACTGACCTGGGGGTGCTGCGTCTGGGGGTGCTGCGTCTGGGGGTGCTGAGTCTGTGAGTGCAAAGCCTGGGGGTGCTGAGTCTGAGGGTGCGGAGTCTGGGTGTGCTGAGCCTGAGAGTGCGGGGCCTGGGGGTACTGAGCCTGAGGGTGCGGAGCCTGGGGGTGCTGAGTCTGAGGGTGCGGAGTCTGGGGGTGCTAAGCCTACGGGTACTGCGTCTGTCGGAGGTCCTGCAGGTGCCTCGCCACGACTGTCTCACCGAAAGGAGCCTCTCTCACCGCAGCAGCTGCGCGAGTGGTTTGCTCAGCGCACACGCGTTAGGAGTGGCGCTGCAGGAACTGGAGGCTCTGCCGCTGGAGGCACAAGAGCTGGAGGTGATGGAGCTGCTGGTCCTGGAGGTGCTCGTACTAGTGGTACTAGAGCTGCCGGAGCTGGTGGTGTTGGAGGCGCTGGAGCTGGAGACCCTGGAGCTGGATGCACTGGAGCGGGAGACCCTGAAGCTGGAGGAGCTGGAGCTAAAGGAGCGGAGCTGGAGACCCCGGAGCTGGAGGCACTGGCGCTGGAGGCGCTAGTGCTGGAGGAGCTAGAGCTGGAGGCGCTGGAGCTGGAGGTGCTGGCGCTGGAGGCGCTGGAGCTGGAGGCACTGGAGCTGGAGACTCTAGAGCTGGAGGTGCTGGCGCTGGGGGTGCTGGAGGTGGCGGTCCTGGTGCTAGAGGCACTTTGAAGCGGCGCCTGTTTTTCGTTCCGCCGCAGCCGTCGTCTCCGCCGCCACCTGACTCGGTCCTTCGCCAGGTTCTTAGTCTCCCTTCTTCTACTGGCCTTACTCCTAGCTTGCTGTGTCCACCGCCTCACCAATCGTAGCCACAGTTACAGCCAGACTCCCCACTACCTAATCCTTCTCCTTACGCTGAGCAGACAGACTCTCTTACAGAGCGTCATGAGCCTGAGTCTCATCCTGCCTCACCCGTTCGCGCTGTTCGCACAAGTCGTCGTGTTCCTCGTTCACGTCCTCCTCCTATCCCCGGTATTCATATTATGGCACTTCGTCCTTCCTCTGTTCCACTACGAGTTCCCCTGCCATCTCCTCCTGCGTCCTCTCTTGCTACGTTCCTAACCCTGGGTCTGACTTAGCTCGTGCTGCCAGTCCTACTGTC